CCCATGACCTGGTCCGAGTAGGAAAGACAGCAGCGAGTTTTTTGTGGCGAACAGGAAGACGATAGGGAGTTGAGCGATGGCTATGAAGCCTGAGTGATGACCGCAAGATGTGAGCTGTCAAACACCAAACAAGAAACGTATCCGATCTCACCTGCACGATTAGAGTTCTCAGCTAGAACAGAATCTTTGACAATACACACGACGAGCGCAACGGCGTATCCTATCAACAGAAGGACTATGTCATGCTCGTCAGTCCAGGTTCGACTTCACTAAGAGACAAAAAAAAAAAAACTCACTCTGTCCGACATTCACTCCAAGTCCAGGCGCAGACCAGAGCAAGCTCGAAAACAGCATGCTCAATATTCCTTCCACTTGAGCTTGTAATATACTCCTTCCTCGAGATTCTGACCTCTGAATCTCACTCGATGTCATCTTCGAATCGTTGTCCGACCCCGTACTCTTAGCATCCAAATCATCATCCGGTGCCACAGTATAACCGTAATTCCTCTCCCCTACTCCCGTCAATCCAGCGAATACCCTACGATTCCGAAAGGACTTGACAAGATACGGTAGCGAAAAGGCTACAGAAGCAGCGAGACCTGAACACCAGATCGTCGTGAATTTGCGTTGCCATTTAGGATCTTCTTCATATGAGCTGTTGTGTTCCTTCCGATTAGATCCAGTCAGGAATTTTGCAAAGCAGAAGGAACGTACTTGTATAACTGGAACTCTGGCGGAACCACTGGAGGTGCACCAAAGTCGCCCATCGTTCTAACTACGAAGGCGTCGTGGGAGTTGGTCACTAAGTGGCGGTCCCTCTACCTGTATGGTGTCAATGTCATCTAAATAATACGGGTAATTATTTCGGTTTGTCATGGGTGTAAGAGGGCAAAAAAGTTTTTGTGCATCGTGTGAAAATCAAATTCACGTAGGATTCCCAGAGAGACTACACTCCCAAACACGCAAATTTCTCATTGACATACAGTCGCTACCACAAGAATCGTAACTGGAATACAGATAGGTGCTACGTTCTGTTCATTAATGACTAGAAACCCTGAATCGCCCAAACAACGTCTCTCCAACTCCCAAACCGACCACGATCGCTATCAAGAATGAGACCTGAAATGTCCTGTTCGCGGGAAGAACCGAGTATGAGAATTACGGTAATTGCAAAATGGTCATTCGACCAGCAACAGAAACGCCACTCACATAACAGCCAACATGAGAGCAAAACTAATGGCCGCTTGACCGGCTTGCATGATGCCTCGCACGATATCATGAGCTGGGATAAACGGCACAATCGTTCGCATCGTAATCAAGTCCACCACGGAGGGCGTGACTAAACTTGGAGAGGAGTGGGATGTGCCGTTTTCATTGACGTTCTTCTCTTTCTTGTTGACGCGGGAGCCCGAGTTGAGCATGTTAACGTAGGCTATCTGCGCTCTAAAGGAACGCAAAACGGGAAGGAATGAATAACAAGCATCAGGGGAAAACGAGACATCAGTCATGGGCAAATGTTTGTGCTTACCGCGTTCTCCAATGAGCCTCCATAATGCCTCTGCACGCAGCGGCCCACCGATCCACAAGAGCCAACAGGAACAACCCAATGCAGGCTCCTACCATCGCACCGTTACTCTGCGGTACCCATCCCTCAAACCACAGGATATCGCCAGGTGTGAAGTGGAAATACATCAGCATGTGCCCGCTGGCGAGGTCCATCGGCATATCCATAGACATATCCATGCCATTCACATCGTGGGCTGAACACAGTGCTGCGAAGAGCAGAGAAGAAAGAAACGACCTCAGCAACGTCATTGGAAGAAGGCCCTGAGGGAGAGGAGATATATCCGGGACAGTGTGGTGATGATGGTCGAGTATCAACGGTAGTGTTTTAGCTGATTTCCGCGAGGCTGAAGGGTGGATCTGATTACGTAATCATACCATTTCCAATAAGTTGACTGGCCAAATCAGTCCTCCCATTCACAAATATCGCGACCTTTCGTTCTTGCATGGATGTTATGTGACCTGGAAGCGTCACAATCAACTGAGACACTTATCAAGAGAAATCAGGACATACTGCATGCCCTTGTCACTGATAACTTGATTCTTCAGGTCGACCAAAAATCCTGAACGTACTGGGCCACACCGACCAATGACAACGGTCGAGTTCCCGAGTCATTCCCCGAGTCATGGGGCTGTTCAGCACAACAATCGATAGTGACGAATGGCGGATGTCAGGTTGAGCAGCGGGAACAAGATGAGGACCAAACAGATGCGACACCAGAAATGGGAAAATGTTTGCTTCAGGTCACGGTGGCCATGGTTGAATGGAAAAGAAGGAGAACATTCGGTACGAGACACAAAGAGGTGTAGAAGAATGTCGACGTCGAGGGGGAGCAGTTATGGGTCGCCAAGAGTCTGAACGGTGTAGGCAAGGCGAATTCAGGCAAGGCAGGTTATATTTGAGTGATTATAAAGAAGTTGAGCACACATACCTCCGAAGCCGTTACTTCAGATCGTCATCTTCAGCTTCAAAGAGAACTTCGTTGTATAGCGCAAAGACAGAAGAAAAGGGGAAACCAACGGGGACGACGTTGAACAGATCGTGACGGTGAAACGTTAAGCCAAGGGGTCACTGTGACGAGGAGCACGAGGCAATTTTGCGCATCGTGAGAAAAAGAGCCATTTCTCCGATTGGCTGGTTGTTGCTTCATGGTCACTGGTGCGCTGCCTTCTTATGTAACGCATATCAACTTCTCCTCAGTCTTTTCTTGTCTTCGACGATACTTGTCTATTGGTACGTGTTCTAACTTCATTGTCAGAGGTTAAAAGTTTGAAAGCAAGCCATTCGTGGTCAACCTTGACTGTTGAAAACGCTCAACTTTCACTTATCGGTTGCTTCAACGTCCACTCTGTCCTGTCCGGATGAAGTACTACATGTAGCATTTCGGCTTCACTCAAAACTCCTTTGCGATAATCTAGCGAAATATGTTCGGAAGTATGGAACATCGCGGAGCTTGGAGACCAGACCAAGGATTTCGCCTCAGAGCAGTGTGGACTTAAACTTGCAGGCTATTGAAGGGAATTTACCGAAAATAAAATTCCCTGGACATTCGGTACAGCTCGAGTGGTGCAGGCTAAATTTGCTCTGTCGCGGTGGATCTCAATATTCACTCTTTTGCCTGTAATTATCGATTGTGCAGTACACCAAGGACTCGGAACATTGATGGGATTATCTCGAGTCGGGGTAGGAAATGCGTAGGAAGGGCTTGCAAGCGTTATTCAAGCACTTTTTGAGAAAGACTTCGCCAGTTCCAGTAAATATAAACCAAGTTTTCGAAACACAGAAGTAAAATTCACGAATGAGTGAAAACGGGGATGGGCGAACCGAATGGCAAGTCAGTATGAGTACGGGTGATTGAACGGGCTCAATTCCCTCTCCCAGTCACATCTGTGCATTTCCGACCTGTTTGCACCAGGAACTCATAACCCAACGTTTTCCCGTACAGAAATCGGTGAGATGTTTATTATTTCATCATGTTGAACTCTCCTGAATTTCGGGCGTCAGTGTGATATGCCTTTTATTGTCTCATGAAAGGTACACATAGGCTATCTTCGGAGTAGGCGTTCTGGAAAATCCGTGGACTTATGCCCTAGCAGGCTCTAATCTTCCGAGCCGACATGGGGTAAATCATAGATTAGCAGAAAAGTTCCGATTATCGTTGCGGACTTTGATCATGCATCATGATGGAATGATGTCGCCCTGAGCGCCTCCGAAATCCTAAAATCCTCCACAAGTTTTAGTGACCTCGGAGCTCGTTCCACTTTCAGTTCGAGAGGATTCCTTCCATTTTGTAGCGTTCGCAAGGGTCGTTGGACTCTAAAATGTAAATACGTAGGTCCTTAGCTCGTTAACTATCACGTCTTTCAATGTAACACGAAGCAATTTGCCGCAAAATCAATCATATTCCATTGACGAGGGCTGTGTTTAGCATGCCCCAACCTAATTTATCGCTTGTAGCGCATTCCGAGGTGAAAGTGGGGGACCCAGTTTACGTTTGCTATGTGTGGAGAAAGGGGGGATTGCCGGAAGGCCCAATCAGCGATAATAGAGCAGGCAAGATACTAGAAATCGAACCAAACTCCTCGGACTCGACTACACACTTCAGAGTACGCGATTTTCGCTCGGCCGAAGACTCATAATTGAGGTTACTCGAAGTATAAAACCCTCTGGTCTGCGGACAGTTGAATCCAGAATTCACAGGAATTTCATTCAGCTTCACTAGCTTCCTCGGTTTCTAATCTTCTCGACGAACTCATCACCGTTCCCCGCATCAGTTTTTCACTCAACTCTCACTCTACCATCCAACAATGAAGAACGTCTTCGCAGTCAGCTTCCTCGACGCTCTCGTTTCCCTTGTCGTTCCTGCTGATCTCGCCGTAAGTCCCTTTCTCCTCCTTCTTTGTTGCTTTCGAAGTTCACCGACGTATTTGACGCGTCTTTTTTTATTTCAGGCCTCTGGTTCACATTGTCAAAGCAATTGCTGCAAGAAGGAAGAAGAAAAGGAGAACTAGAGATTCAACGTCACCATGCACTGTACGTTCAGGACGCAACACGCGTCATTTTCCCGTTTTCCAAATGTCTAGTGCTCATTCGAAGCAAACGGGACGCGCGCCAGCTTCATGATAATAACCGCATGATCGCCTTGGTTCACCCACCTCTTTCGAGGTTGTATCTGATTTTCCGACGACTTATATTCCTCCATAATATCCTCCTGTACTATAATCATTAGGCCGTCATCTTTTTTTTTTGTACAACGTGTACACGAGTATCATAGTTCTTCATTTTAGAAATGTATTCATAAACGGATTGCATAGGATCCAATAATCCTTATGTCAGTCACTCTACGGTCATCTAGACGGGCCATCAAGACCTGTTTCGTGTTTTAAATAATCGTAGGAAGAAACAGAAAAAGAAAATACCCTTAGTAAGAAATACATGACGAGAGTGGGATTCGAACCCACGCCCCGGAGGACTAGATATCATATCTCTACCACGCTCAGCACCTGATTCTAGCGCCTTAGACCGCTCGGCCATCTCGCCATACATAATAAATCTCAATTCTGCATATATAGTTGTCGGGGTCTGAATCACCGGCAGTTATGAATCGAACGTGCTGTCTGGGTCCCTTTCCCTTCGGTCCCCTCCACTGCCGTTTGCCGTGGACGGTTGTCATCCACTGACAACAACGACAACGAACCGTCGACAACCATGGACGAAACACCTACCAGTCTCTTTGAAGCTTATTATGGTGATTTCGAGCATATTATACAAGGCGTCAAGAATAAACTCGACAAGGAGGTTGTAGAGCAATACGGAGGTTCGTTTTTTTCCTTTCATACGTGGAGTGTGGGGTATTTCAGGCCCTGAAGCTTGAAGACTCGACCTTGACGGCTGACGACGATCTCCTCGACAGAACAAAGAAAAGCAACTCTTCGAAGGGTAGAAATTGAACTAGACGAAGCTGATGACCTGGTACGTGGTCAAAGCGCAGCATCCACAACAACTCTGACCGCGAAAAAAAAATAAATTAGGTATCCCAGCTTGAAATCGAAGTTCAAGGAATCCCAGCTTCCATTAGAGCACAATACTCTGCTCGGCTCAAACAATCCAAAATTGACATGAACAGGCTTAAACGAGTCGCGAAAGATATGCATGCCAAAGTTTCTCGTGGGGAGCTTCTAGGACCAGGCGGTGGTAGAGGTGGTGCTTTTGCACGCTCAGACGACCCTTACGACGACGAACGAACGAGACTGCTTGCTGGAACGCGGACCTTGAGTGATGGAAGCAGAAGGTTGGAGGATGCTACGAGGCTAGCGTTGGAGACTGAGACGTTAGGGGCGGATATTCTGAGGAATCTTGGGGAGGATAGGGAAAGGATCGAGAATTCGAGGGATACGGTACGTCTCGTTCTTTTTGTCTACTCTGCCGTCAATATTCTAATACGTCTGGTTTCTTTCGGTCCTAGCTACGCACAGCAGATACATCCATCGACCGCGCCTCCCGAACCCTCAAGGGCATGATTCGACAGTGCGTCTTCTCTGTTTTCACCGTCTTCTTTTACCCTGACTTGATCTTTCCTCCCGCGTTCAGAATGTACAAACAACGTATCATACTCAGCGCCCTCGGAGTCGTGTTGGTCATCGTCGTGCTGGTCATACTATACTTCAAACTCATTCGTCATTGAACGCTCGAACGCTTCTCTTCCTGTCAGTCTCTTCCATGTTCCGCATTGTTCTAATTTATCTGTATAATTTAGTCCTCCCCTTTGTAATACGTTGTTCCCTCCTTTTCTCTCTTGTACCTTGTTGCTCCGTTACTATCCCTCCCCCGCTATCCGTTTCCTTTGACGAGGTCCCGGGTCCTTCACATCTATGTACATTCTCCATTGGCAAACGGAATGCTAGGTTTTATGTTTTCTCAATGGCCTCGTCATGGTCCATGTTAGAATGTCATTCTTCATGCAGTCATCATGAAATATGAATTACACGACATGATATGATGTTCCACAAATATGAAAAATGCACGTTGTCTTTGTCTCCGATAGGGGAATGTAGGCAAGCCTTCAGTCGTACGAGAGAGAGAACCCGACTAGGGACTCCTTTATTTCGTGCTCCTGTCCTCATTTCCGAATCTCTCTTCTCGTCGAACTGTTCCCGGTCCCTATCTCTTGAACAGGCAGGCAGCTGCCAGCTCTTTATCGACCCATATCACACGCGTGGGGTTCACCTGCTTGTGGCAAAAACTGCGACCAGGGACAGCCAGGCGATTTGAAGCTTCCACGTTTCCAACTCGTGGTAACCTAATTTTTTTTTTGTTGTATGAGACGTCGAAGTTGACAGTGATAACAGATTCAATACATGCTCAACGGAAGAGAATCACGACTCGTAGCTGTATTCACGACCTCAAAAAAACGCCTTACGCTTATTACATTAGCTGATGGAATGTCCGCTCACTGCTCCACGTCCAAAGTCACCGGCTTCCGTACGGACACGCCCTTATCCTTTGCATACTCCTTCAAATGTTTCGCAATCGTATCGTTCGCGTACCATACAACAGTGTCATCTTGGAACTGGATGTAAAACCAATCTCGGTGCTTGGGGCTGAGGTTCATGTACTACGAGCGATTTTTTCAATCCATGCTCAACGTCAATGTCGGAGAAAGATGGACATGGGACTTACACGAATATTAAGGTGCTGCTTACTCGCAGCAGTCAGTGTACTCGCCAACCTGTCTGCGCAGGCGTGCCATCGGATAACCTGCCAAAAAAAAACGTCACACTGAAAGTTCGACATTTGGTTTACAACTCAAACTCACATTATTGGCATAAACCAAGACCGTAGCCTGTCCAACCCCCAAAAACGGCCGAAAATCGCTCCCAAAATTCCCTTTCATCTTCTTAATCCACGCATCTTGATCTTTCTCCAACCAATGAAAAGACGATTGATACGTAGTTCCGTTGTGTGAGTACCAACAATAAGCACCGGCATAAGGAAACGATATTCCGAGGACTGAAGAATGATCTGTTTTCAACTTGTTTTTGAGGCCCGCAAGAGTACCAACATTCCAGTCTAAAAATACCATCGAGAAAGATTCAGAATCGGAGGGTTTTGAAGTGGGGAGTGGGGGGATGAATAAAAAAACGCACAACGAGCGCGTCTCGTTTTTTCGTTGAGAGTCCTACCCACGACGAAGCATTCTCCAGATGCACTCATGGAGGCGTACTCAATCGGAGGGTTGAGTTTACCAACCAAGGCAGAGTACATTCCACTTGGAAGATGACTATCTCGTGTTCGTCCTCCTGCGGCGATGAAGTAAGAGTTGTCAGAGGCGCCAAAAGCGAATACGATGTTTGTGGGCATGATGATCAGGAATCAGGGCTCAGGGTTCTCAGGAAACGTACAGAGAGGACTGTACAAGTCGCGTTAAAATGAAACTCATCTGGTTCGTTGTTCTGGTTTATGTATGTCAGCAGCTTCAACCGCTGCCACTGCTGATTCCACCTCCCCCGTTCGGAATGCGTTTAACAAAGACGTAGGTAGAAGCGCCTGGTGTCTCACATTACGCCAAGCACTGCTGGTTCGTTTCATTTATACCAAACGGCATAGACGATCGAGGGTCGGAAGAACGAAAGGGAGCTCAAAGCATGCATGACGGATGCGTGGACGTTGAGGGCTTCTGATTTGAAACATCTTCGAGTGAAAGAGTGAAATCATCCTCTTGTGGATTACTCTCTCTCTAAGTAGGCGCGGAAGGACAGACGAAGCCAGGAATCCACTGGAACTTGAAGATTCTCCCGTTCGTATCCCATGGTTCATCATTTGGATATCCCTCTAATATTGGATACATTGAGGTCTATAGAGTGAGGGCACGGTGAACGGATGGAGATTGGAGTGAGTTGTGGAGGAAGAACCAACTCCGCATGTCGATCATCCGTCAAATTCCACCTTCTTCATTAGCAGGGCATAGGGTTTACATGCGGAGAACTGAACGTGAGCATGTATAAAATGGGCTTTTGCATGAGGAGATGCCACCAAACTGCGGAAATCGGAATGTCAATGCTACACAGAAGCGAGAATCTCGTCCACCCTTCTACACAGTCGTCCTATTAATGTAGTGCATGGCGAGCTGAACAGATCTCGTTGGCGTAGTTAGAGGGAGTCCAGCAATCAATTGTTGATTTTCGTTTCGGAGTTTACATGGGGAGAAGGACACCCAAAGGTTGGATTACTTGACGACCCAAACCGGAAAGGAAGTGAGACAGTAAAACAAACAAGAGTATGGGGGACTTACATAAACCTCGCCGCCATTACCTCGCCATCACTGGTTGTCGGAATCTTCCAAGTCGTGGGCTTTTCTCCAACTGTCTCTATTTCTAGCACCCGCGATGAAGCCTTTATAACGATGTAGGATGAAACTCTTGCTGGTCTGCCACAGGGTTCTTCAAGCCCGTAGAGATACGAGAAATTCGTGCGTCTCTGTTTTTCGATGCGAAGGTGATGCCTGTCACTCAGGAGAAGAAATCGTCAAGGTGATTTGACAAGCCGTTCAACAAGGGAGGAAAGACACCGTGAATGAATGAATCAAGGATAGAACCTGTAGAGAGTGCTTTTTTCAGAGGAGTAGGAGCGGAAAGTCATGGCCTCGGTCTATTATTCAATCGATGTGATAGGTATCTAGAAAGCGTCGACGCAGGCTTCGTTCCCCGATTGAGAGCTTGCGTGCATGGACACGGAGAACAATTAGACGCCCGTCTCTTCCGTGGTTTTTGTTTTGGCGTTTTAGCCACGTGGACGGCATCTCGCGTCACACGTATTAGTAATCCGACTACTTTTTTTTTTTTTTTTTTTTTT